GTTTTATAGATGGCACTATTAATCGACCATTTTTATCCGCGAAATTCGAAATATCATTTGAAAATGGATCTGAATATTCTCTAAAATTTTAGAAAGTGAAGAAAACGTCCAACTGGAGGACCATGGATAAGGGATGGAAAATAATTCCACAAACGTGAGAAAAACCATTGCCGGAAATCATAAATTTCAATACTTGAGTCTGCTTGTCAACTTTATAACTCCAAAATTCGTCACAAAAACACTTTCCTCGAAAATCCAAAATTTAGAGAGGGAAATAAACTCGACGGTCACGGTCATAAAATTATAAACCCTCAGTTTCGAGATATTTGGAAAGACTTTTGGTTTCATGTGGCCCGCACATGTTGTTTCTTCCTTTGTTCATTCACGGAGAGAAATATTCAATAAAAATTACCAGAAAAAAGACGTAAAAATTACGTTTCGAAACGTAATCTGGGAGCGAAGTAAAATTCAATAAAAAGTGTCAATCGTCTCGTAAATTCTACGATCTGTTCCGTAAAAATTACTCATACATCGGACGCCTCACGGCTAGCCATGAGTCACCGTGAGGGGGAGATTTTAACAACAGGTTCCGTAATTTTTCCGGAACTTTTCATAAAAATTCTTAAACATCCAAGAATTTTCATGTGAGGCATAATAAGTCTTGAAGTTTCTGTTAGATTTTACAACTTCCAGAAAAATTACGTGACTTTTTCGGATTTTTTCGGTGACAGACCCGAAAATTCACTAAACGTTTCAGATTTATTCTCTTATATTCCTATAGAAATTCACTGAAAACGATTCTCGCTTGCGGATTACGTGAAATGTTCCGTAATTTTTATTGAATATTTCTCTCCGTGTTGTATTGCTAGCTCAAGGGGCCTGAGACCCTTCACGACGAAAACATGACGTCACACGCTCCCCTTCTTTCCTATTAGATTCCCCTTTTTCCTTTTTCCCTCCCTCATTTTCTCCTAGGAGTTATCCCTCTTCCCTTTCCACATACAAGGTTTGCGCGCGCAACTGAAAATCTAGCGGGGGTGTAGGACCCAACTCTTAAATGTTAAGATATGTATAAGTCAGTCCCATCGTGGCTGTTGTTTCGACAACTTTTCGGCGCTTCTCTCTTCAATTAGCTTTTCTTTAGAGTTTTACTTAGTTTACCGAGTTTTTGTATTTCAAGTTTTTCCAAAGTTTTCGAGTCAAGTTTTGAATAAAAGTATAAGTGTGCTCTCCTAAGCACTTGTCTTCAAATTTATTTCAACTGAAACCCTAAAATCAATTATCCGGAGAGAGAACGAGACAACTTCGATGGAGTCCTTATTAGAGGTTTAGCGGCTAACGAATCTACATTTTCAACTTTGGCGCTCAATTTTCCAAAAGACGCCACTGTCCTCCTGGTAACTTCGGTAGGACAAATGTTATGTCCTATCCAAGTTACTAGGAGGACAGTAGCGCCATTTGGAATATTGAGCGCCAAACTTTGAAGTGTGGATCCGTTAGCCGCTAAACCTCTGATGAGGACTCCATCGATGTTGACACGTTCAATGATAGGATAATTGGATTGAAGGTTTATTTGTGAATAAATCCAAACACCAGTGCTTAGGAGAGCACATTAACACTTTTATTCAAAATAACTCTTGACTCAAAAATCTAAAACTTGGACTACAAACTGGATGAACTTCTAATAAACTTATAAAAACTCATAAAAACTCTGAAGAAAAACTACTTGAAGAGAGAAGCTTGAAAAGTTGTCGGAACAACAGCCACGATGGGACTGACTTAAA